CTATGAAAAATAGGGTCATGAAATTGTGTTGGGGAAAAAATGAAATTCAAAGTGTAGGTCAGACTGGATCACCAAAGTCACTTTCCAGTAAAGCATAAGGAACTGGTTTTTACAACTACGTAGGGCAAACCGATGACAGCTCTGCCCCAATTCCCACCAAGGCAGTGAACGCCGAATGCTCAAATTAGGGCTCCCAGTGGACCCTGGTCCTCAAGGCTGCGCTCGGTTATCTTTTCCAAGCTTGGACCATTCATATCAAAAGCATCCATGTAAATGGTAAGTGGTATTTTTAAAAGTCAGATCATCCTATAAACCTTGGCTTTTTAGAACACAATTATCAGGTAACTTTGTCATAAACATCTTACTAAATGGTTATTGAATGAACACCAATTAAGTATAAATTTTCGCTTTCTAATAAATAGCAAACTAAATACATCTTACTTGATATTTAAATATTTCCAAGGAATATTCCTAGGCTTGAATGTTATTTTTTCATAGTGAACCACAATAATACAGAACCATTACCTAAGTATCTCAGACAAAATTGTTAGGCAGAACCATATGAAATTACCAGCAGTCAACTCTAACTTACCACAGAAATGGCAATTTTCATACAGTTCAACCAGAAAAAATAGTGAGAAATAGAGTAGGTAAAGGAAAATCCAACATCAGATGAAATGAGGACCTCATAATTTCTTCAGTGAACACTAACCCTTTAGAAATGGCTCAATCAATATATTGAGAAATTATAGCACTTGCCTAAAATTTCCCACCTGGCACACACATCCATGAGAATTCAAAGATGTGTCAGACAGTGGCACTTTCACAATAATTAACATCTGGGAAGCTGGCCTGATTCTTCCCTGAGTAAAAATGTTTATCATTTCTTTTTAAGAAACACTAACTTATCTCGCACTCCAAGCCACATCAGGACCCTAAACATGAGAGTTAGTCTCTAGCTATGGATAGATAGTGGTGGGACTGGTAATGAGTGTGGGTTAAATGTTTGAAAACCAGCTCTCCAGCATGGAGAGAGAGAGAGAGAGAGAGAGAGAGAGAGAGAGAGAGAGAGAGAGAGAGAGAGAGAGAGAGAAAGAGAAGAGAGAAGAGAGAGTTAAATTTTACTGACATAAAGGATGTGCAGCACTCATACGAATAATAATAAAATACACAGTAATCTTGTAAATTGCCTGCCTACAGCAGTTGATTCTCATAGACTGCTTCTAGCAAACAAGCAGAGTGACAACATCCATGATAAATATCCATTATCATATATGCTAACAAGCACGACAAAAGCAAAACAATGAAGAGATATGTCAGACTTCACTCACTTGTCAATAATGTCCGTAACTCCTTTGCTAAACTAGATAATAATAGTTTTTGAATGCCAGAAGAATACTTCCTCAATTCTTTGTGCTACTCCCATTTTAACAGCTATTATGGACTGAATATCTGTATCCTCCCAAAATTCCTATGTTGAAATCCTAACCCCCAGTGTCATGATATTAGGAGGTGGGGCCTTTGGGAGGTAATTAGGTGAGGAGGGCAGAGCCATCCTGAACGGGATTTAGTGCCCTTGTAAGAAAAGACAGGAAAAAGAGAATCTCTCTCCGCCATGTGAAAATACAGTGAAAAGGCAACCATCTATAAGCCCAGAAGAGGGCCCTCAGCAGGTACTGACCTGCAGCACCTTGATCCTGGCCTCCCCATCCTCCAGAACTGTGAGAAACAGATGTAGCTGTTTAGGTCTCCCAGTCTATGGCAATTTGTTACAGTAGCCAAGCTGACTAAAACAACTACAGACAGTACATACTTTTAACTTGAATCTGCATTATTAGCATCTTCTTCATCACTTTTTCAAGTCCAGAGACAGTTACCAATAAATCAAGCCCTGATTTGTAGCCTTTGCTGATTCATATGGTGTAAAGACTACCATCATGGTTGATTTCCAATCACAAATATGAAGGCTCTGCATGCAGGGCTGGGAAGAGGTGCACAGTATCTTATCATCTTAACAGTATTGCTACCATCCAGGCACAGGAGATGCAAATCATCTTAAGAGCATGGCTATAGTAAAATAAGAAGCAAGTCATGAATTTTGAGTATTTATTAATTTCATTTTTAATATAATTATTTAAATGTGTATATAATTTGATGTTTAATAATAGCTATGTAGAGCAACCAGCTCACCAAATTCCTGATAACTGACTCTTATGAGTAGATAAGACATGGCTCCAGCATACCACAGTGAAGTAAAAAATTGTCCAGTTCTAAAGTGTCTTCATAAATTTCAGTCATTAATTATGTTGGCACTCTCATAACTAAAGTTCACAGTGTCACTGAGTCTATTTTCTAGACTATGACAAGTTATCTAGGTTTTACACAGAGATATAAGAATCTAGTTCTAACTACAATAAATATAAGATTCTTGTTTATTAAAATAGTAGAAAGAGTTCCATAATTGTTTATGTTGGAAATTTATCCTACGAATATTTTATAACATTAAAAATATTAATTAAACCCTAACTTAACAAAGGTAACTATATAAATTGGTAAGTTAAGTGCCTCTAGGAAACCAAACATCAGCCATCTGATCATTTACAAGAGGGTACCACCCTGGAGGCACATGAAGTTCATTACTACAGAATCCCTCACAGCCAAGACTTGCCTCTGGGTATTTAAAGGAGTTAGGTAACACAAAGGTCAATAATAACCATTTCACTTGGGCCAGGGGTCAGAAGCGGGGTGGAAGGGGTCAGTGGTGGGGGAAAAATGGGGACATCCGTAATACTTTCAACAATAAAAATATATATTTTTAAAAATAACATGTTTAAAAAGCTCTACTGAAAGTCCATGCTTCGGGGCATACGCCTCAGACCAGAAAGGGAAGAAGCGCCTGCCCTTCCTGTCTGCGTTCGGCCCAGCTGTGTACCACCCCACCAGAGAACAGGTGAATGACAAAAGCAGTTTCAGCTTTCCTCAGGACTACAAAGATCCACTGACAGGATAAAAGATTGAGTGATGAGGGATATCAATGCACCAGTAGTATTTTACATCCAAATACTTTCTCCTAAAGCATGAGATGCTGGTCTCCAAGACCATCTGTTCCCAGTTTCTACTCTGCCGCACGTCCATGAACACGAAGCCCACGCCGTGCTGGTAGAGGCACCATTACTTGTCATACCCATTCTGCCTCTCTTTTCAAATATATCAATATTTGAAAAAATGCACTTTCTTGCTTCTTTATATTACCGCCAACTTCATGACAAAAAATGTCTCTAAACCATGGAATTTCATTTTTTGTGACAGAGGGAATAAAAGATATAAAAGACAGAATTGTACTTTAATTGCTACAATTTTAAAAACAGGGGGTACTTTTATAAATGAAATGTGTGACATTAGTTATAATAATCTCTTCATCCCATAACATTTCCAGCTATTAAACAATGCCTGTCTTCAAAAATACAATTTTAAAAACCCCACAAAAAACAAACATTTCCAGTCAATAGCACTATCCCAGGTAATGTAGGGCCAGCAAATTGTAGTAGGAATGTTCTGAACTAGTCTTTCTTTTGTGAATGTTTTTTTATAAAGAGCATTTTTATTTTAACTATAACTGATTTTACTTTTTAAAAGTAATAAGTTACTCAATGAAACTAAACTTTTCATTCGGTTCTATTTAAGAACTAAATACTCATTAAGAAACTATAATGATGGAATGATTCAAAAATATACCAGAGAGCCCAGCCTGTGTGGCTCAGTGGTTGAGCATCAACCATGCACCAAGAGGTCACCAGTTCGATTCCTGGTCAGGGCATGTGCCCCGGTTGTGGGCCCATCCTCAGTGAGGGACAAGCAGGAGGCGGCCAACCGATTTTCTCTCTCATCGATGTTTCTATCTCTCTCCCTCTTCCTTCTTCTCTCTCTAAAATCAATAAAGAAAAAAAATTTTTTTAATAAAAAAAATATATCAGAGAAAGTTTGCTACTAGCTAGGTTTCTTCCAGACTACCATTCATTTCCATATTTAGTCAAAAATACCAATTTCCAGAAACGAAGCAGCTGAGTTAGAATTAAGTTTATACAGCTCAGTTAGTGCACCTTTTCTGTGACAGCATGTTTTATGTTATTCTGAAAATGCAGCTGAGGGCAGTGAATTAGAAGCCCTCTTATCTATTCATTTCTCTTAATACTAAGAAAAGACCAGCGGTGAGATAGGAGAGACCTACTTCTACCAGCTCAATGCTTAGCAACTCTTTCCACCATGCCTTCATTCTTCAGTACTCCATAGAAACTAACTTCTCCCTTCTCAGACTGTATCCAATCAAGAAGTTTATTTGAAACAAAAACAACGACACAGAAGATAGACTCTTTAGAGAAAACTCTGGTAAATGTCTTTCCTATTGCTATATAATGAGGTTAATATCCCACCTTCAACCATTATTCTCACATCCAGTTATCATTATCATATAACAAAAGAACAGATTGTGCTTTTAAATAGAAAAATAAAAGTGAGCCCTATTTTGATGAATGATCACAGGTTGGACACCAGCTCACGGACCAAGCAAACACCTCATGGTTGGAGATTTCAGAGCGTTCATGCCTGAGTCTGAATATACCGTCTTCCTAATTCTGACAAACCGCCATGTTGAACGCATAGTCCTTGATGTACTCAATAATCTGCAAGTTAGCCGAACCACCTCAGATATTCAATTGTTTCATCATAGCATTGTTACCAAACCAACCCAGGCCGCCAGAAGAGGTGTGTGGAGCAAGCAAGGCCTCTTGGCATTTGCAGCCTACAATAACCGCTGAAATCTTCCCAGTAGGATTGCAAACCTGCCCAGTTGAATAAAAAGTCATTATGAAATGGCTGTGGCATATGAACTTGAGAAAAGAAGAAATATGGAGAGGGGGTTAAAAAAAAAAAGGTGACAAGAGATGGAGTAAAGGTGAGTGAGGCTGGTCAAGAGGGCAGCAGCCATCTGGCCCCTGCCTTACCATTATCAGGGTTGGCAAACATCCTACTTGCACTGGAGACAGTCTTCCCAATGTCAGCCAGGGATCGAAGGTTGGATTTCTTGGTTTGGTGCCGATGCTTCCGGAGCAAAGTGTAGGTCACCTTATCCTTAAGGTCAGGTTTCAGAAGGCCTGTCTCAATCTGATGGTCAACAATCATCTCTGATACAAAACAAAGCAAAACAAAAACAAAACTCAGTCACCAGACCATGAAGTCAGTTTTTCACTCTAACTTTAAAGACATCATCCTCAATTTTAATATCAATATACTATCTTCCAAATTTTGAGCTTCCCACTTTATGTGAAGGGTAAAGATACAGGGTATAGGAATATTGGCATTGATGAGAGATAAATATTTCAGTTTTAATTATAATTTTGGAAAGGAAAAAATTGTCTTGTTCATTTTTTTTTTTAATCCTCACCCAAAGACATTTTTCCATTTTTTGTACAGACAGAGTGGGAGGGAGAGAGAGGAAGAGAGAGAGAGGGAAACATCGATGTGAAAGGGACACATCGAGTGGCTGCCACCCACACGACCAACCAGGGCCAGGGACAAACTGCAACCGAGGTACATGCCCTTAGCGGGAACCGAACCCGGGTATCTCCAGACTGCAGGTGGACGCTCTAACCGCTGAGCCAAACCGGCCAGGGCATAAAATCCCAGTTAATAGTGAATTCACACTAATCGATTCTTTTAGATATAACATAATAAATCTGTAATTTACATTCATCAAGAAAAAAATATAAGATTTGAAAATTTCATGTACTCTACTATAGTGTGCCAGAAGTATAAATGATATGGCAAAACTTTACGAAATGTGCAACATTTATAGTGACACTGCATTTTTTCATCTAGTTCCCCAAATTCTTCTGTACTGTGGTATTTTCTTTACAATAGGACCAAGTAAAGGAAAACAATACCTTTCCCCATATCATTAATTGGTTATTTGAACACCAATTAATTTAATACAAGCAATTAAAATACAAAATTATGCCTTAGTCTTATCTCAGAAGAAATCCTAATTCTTGTTTAGATCCAACATATTTCCTTAGTCATTTTAAAGTATAACCTGACTAGAATTTTCTATTAAATTTTAATATCTTAGTCTCATTACAAAAACTAAATTTTCTATTAGCTCTTTTTTTAAGAATGGTTTTAACTAGAAAAGATGATTGTGTTTCTTTTTTTTAATCCTCACCCAAGGACATTTTTGCATTTATCTTCAGATAGAGCGGGAGGAAGAGAAGGGGGAAGAGAGAGAGGGAAACATCGATGTGAGAGAGACACATGGACTGGCTGCCACCCACACGACCCAAACTGGGCCGGGGACAAACTGACACTGAGGTACATGCCCTTAGCGGGAACTGAACCCGGGATTCTCTGGTCCGCAGGCCGACGCTCTAACCGCTGAGCCAAACCGGCCAGGGCAAAGATGATTGTGTTTCATAGAAAATACTCCATGGGTGGCTCTGCTAAAGGACACGTTTTCCTCTAATCAAAAATAAGACAGTCACAGGGATGTAAAGTACAGCATAGGAAATACAGTCAATAACACTGTAGCAATAATGTACAGTGTCAGGTGGGTACTGGAGATATCAACGGGATCACTTTGTGAAGTATATGTTGTCTGAGCACTATGCTGTACACCTGAAACTAATATAAAATAATACTGAATGTAAACTGTAACTGAGAAAAATAAAAAATTTAAAAAATAAGAAATCCTCTTTCTCACAAGTCAGCACATCAGAAATATGGCATAAATATAGCCACCCGACCATCCCATCATAATCCGACATTTCCTCTGTCCAAACAGGACTCGGACAACACACCGCAGGATCAGCGAGGTAGGCAGTGGCAGGACGCCACCTCCCATGTGCAGGTAGAGCTTCCGTCCCCTGCGCAGTCGGAACGATGGGCCCGTGCCTACCTCTTCAGGCCATGGGTGCATCTAGCACACATCAATATGATCCTCTTGGGCAAAGTTCGCAGTATACAAAAATGGAGAAGAAAACAAAAGCTCCATACTATTCAGCTGTAAAAAGGAAGAAAACTGTACCCTTTGCAACAGCATGGATGGACCCAGAGAACATGATGCTAAGTGAACTAAACCAGTTAGAGAAAGACAAGTACCATATGATTTCACTCATATGTGGAATCTAATGAACAAACTGAACTAACGAGCAAAATAGAGACAGACTCTTAGATAGAGAGCAGGCTGACAGCTCTGGTGGCAGGGGGGGTGTCCCGGGGGAGGGGGATTGAGCAAAAAGGGGGAAAAAAAGCACAAAGGCATGGACAAAGAGAACAGTATGGTGATTGCAGGGGTGGGGGTGGGAGGAGGTGGAAGAGGGTATAGAAGGGGAAAATGGTGATGGAAAGAAAAATAAGAAAGAAAGGAAGAAAGAAAAGAGAAAGGAAGGAAGGGAGAGAAGGAGGGAGGGAGAAATCTGACCAGTGCTGTTAGGGTAACAGCATCTCCCAGCATTCCCATCCTTTTGTAAAGAAAAGCAACAAATATTCACCAGATTTTGCTTGGGTATTACTGTACCTCTCAGTAGCTCATCTTTGCAAAGCAAGCACTCACTGAACTGGCTTCACAGCCTATGGCTAGAAACTAATGATTTACTCAGTGTACAGTCAACCATTTGGGAGCCAAACAGAGGCTGAATCCAGGATTTTCCATCACAAGCCTTACACAGATGCCATAAATGTCACATAGTGCTGGACCACTTTGTAGGGAGCCTGGGCAAAGCAGGAAGAGTCTCTCCCATAGGAATGCTTTGGTTTGACAATGGCCTTAAGCTCTGAGTATTTTTAACCAAGCAAACCCTACTCAGTAAAACTCTCAGAACTGATTCCGTAATTACAGTCAACCCTCTGCTCCACAGCAAAATAATTAGGTGCAACTAAACACAATCCCTCTACCTTCCTTTCAAGTCCTGTTCAATATGGAATGTCTGTTTTACAGAAGAACCACAAAAATAAACAAACAGCCCCAGCATATCCGCTGCAAGTGTTATCAAACTCCTACTCTAATTCCAGGGTTGTGGATTCAAGTGTTTCTTATCTACCCTTCCTGGCAGGGCCTCTATATTCTTGCCCTCCCTTGTAATTTCAAACCAATCCTATATATGCACAGCCAGCCTCTATTACCGATGCCTAGAAATCACCAGTTAGAACAGGTTAAAACATCTGTGTGGCTAATGCCCTTCATTTAGTTTCCATAAAAACGGCCCACATTGCAGGGATCTCTTTCAGCATAAACTTAAAAAACCTTTCAAAGAAAGTGGGGGCAGTAACATTTCACAGCTACACTGAAATTAAGTCTTTGGTGTCAGAATCCCACAGACGTTACCAATTGGGAAAGAATGTGCCAACTCCAGATGATAGCAGAGCCGAAAGGAACCTCAGAGAGCATCAAGTTCAACCTCTTGTTACACAGATGAGAAAAGACAGGGCAAGAGAGACTTGCTCACAGACATAGCTAATTAGAAGTAAAACCCCCCCAGACAAAACCAGGTTTTCTGATTCATAGTTCAGATCTTTCTCCATATCACACAATACTTTTCTCGATTTGAAAGGGACTCTAGACCAAAAAAAATAACAAAGAGTTGGTATTTCCAGAGCCCCTGCAAACCAACAGAGACATGAAACAGACCAAAAGGCCAAAGGGAATACAAACACCCAAGAAACAGTTAGCTCCAAGACTAACAGACAATTTAAACAAATTTATACAATAGAACCAATTATGTGATATCTGTTCATCCATCAAAGGGGCAAAATGTAGCATATGCGACATGAAGTGTGCAATAGGCAACTCCATTACCGATGGTGACACAACCTTCCCTGAGGGCTCTTGACAACCACATAGCAAAACCCTTTACTGTGTTCAAACCCTCTGAATATTCCACTGTTCGAAAGGTATATTAAGGAAACAATTAATTTCACAAAAGCATGACAAAAATGTTCACTTCTTTCCTTTACCAAAAAAACTTGAAGGCAACTTCAATGCCTAATAACAGGTTTTAAAATATTTTGCAGCCATCAAAACAATGTTTATATTTCTATTTAATGACATGGAAAGATAATTTGCATTATGTTTTTAAATTTAAAAGAGTGGATTAAAATGTTATGGTATGATCCTATTTTGTAAAATAAATTTTATATCTGTAAATATATGTACAGAAAAACTGCTGAAAGCATAGCTCAGAAAGATGAGAAGTGTGGTATTTTGATTTTTATGTGTTACATTTTTCTGGGTTATTTAAATATGAATATAGATTTGTGATATAACAAATATATTACCATTTTGAAAATATAAAAGGTGTAAAAAGCAAAAAACGACTAACACATCTGCCCACAGCCACAGCTCAGGAACGCCTTTAAATATAAAAATGAGAACTCCAAAAATAGAGCTACATTTTCCTAATCCATTTCCCATCATAAGAAAATACCTGAGCCCTGGCCAGTTTTTCTCAGTGGTTAGAGCGTCAGCCTGCAGAACAGAGAGTCATGGGTTCGATTCCGGCCAAGGGCACATACCTTGGTTGCAGCTCATCCCTGGCCCTGGTCGGAGTCGTGCGGGAGGCGACCAGTTGATGTGTCCGTCTCACGTTGATGTAAGTTTCTTTCTCTCTCTCTCTTTCTCCCTCCCTTCCCTCCACTCTATCTAAAGATACATGAAAAAATTATCCTTGGGTGAGAATAAAAAAAAAAAAAAATACCTGAAATGACAAAATTTTTTTAACTTAGGAGGGGAGAAAAAGACCCATGTACTTGGCTTCATATGTGAACGACACTCTTTAAATGTAGAATTATAATCACAGTAATAATAAACCTACTAAAATAGTCAGTGAAAATGATGTCTTATCCTTTAAGTACATTAAAAGACAGGTTTTTCTACTGACTTTAAGAAGGGGTTCTTCATGAAAAAATAAGAAAAGGTTCTGCGGAGAATCAGAATTGGGCTGAATTTTTTTTTTATGCAAGTGTGAGAAGTTAGCGTCAGCTCAACCGTCTCCCACTGTGCGTGACCAGGTTCCTTTGTGCCTGCAGCGGGCGTGCCACTTAGACAGAGCTGCAGGTGGACTGCAAAAAAAGGATAAAAATCTTGCTATTGCTTGTTTGAGATAATCACACTTGCTATTACTTTTTCTTCTCCATTGTTGAGATAACTCTGTTGAGATAAATGGGGTGGAGGGGAGATGCATCTTAGACAGCTGCACACGATTCTCCACTTGATTCAGGACAAAACAACTCCACTTCACCCTCTGCTAAAAATAATAATTTTTGAGAACCAAATAATGGCAATATCCCTCAAGCTGCTGTGCCATCTTCTGTCATTTAAAATGAAGTAAGAGCTTTTATTCCCCTATGTTCTTTAACCCGCTGCAAGGTCTAGATTGTTTCAGAGGATTTTTAAGTCTTTCTTTTCAGCTAGTTACACTCTCTCAAACATGTTCTTCTCCTTGCACTCCTGCAAATCTGGTCCTTTCTTTTGCTTGTGTGCATGGGGGGAGGGAGGGGGGGTGAGTTTTGCCTCTTTATTTGCCTCTGAATTGTTTCTCTGTATTATCAGCTCCAGACCGACACCCTGGCCCTCTGCCTGCTCGCCCAGGGACTATAAAGTAAACATATTATTAATTGATGATATCTCAAAGTGACCTACTAGTGTCTAATTTTAAAATTTAATGAGAATTTTAAAAGTAAATGCATGGAAGTTAGAGAAAAAGTTCACCGCTGATAACAAAATGTAATGAAAAATTCAAGTGAGAACACAGAATGCTTGGAGAACCTTTCTTTAACGTAGCAAATACTGGAACCTCACTGGTCATTGGCTAACAAGGCTCCAATATGTGGGACTCTGTCTTCTACTTTGTCTTAAAAGTCGTTAGTTGCTGAAGACCAGAAACTTCAGGTGGCTCTTTCTAGTGATGAAGATCCCAAAGACAGTTTTACAGAAAAGTCCAAGTACATAACTCAGCTTTAACAGGCATCACCCTTGTTGACCAACTCCAGGCACAGCAAAGAAGCTGTTGTTCCCAGTCCATCCACTACACCTTTCACAATCTTTTCTTCTGCTCATGAAGTCCCTGAACATCTCTCTACCTGACTCAGTCTACACTCAATCCTCTGCTCAGTGACAAGTAGAATGATCTGGATCAACTCATGTCTGCTGAAATAGGTATGTAAGTGTATAATAATCACACCTGACATCCTCATTTACTTCTCACAATGACCCTGAAAGGTCAGTCTTCATCCTGCTTTCACAGGGGAGTACACTGATACTGCTGAAGAGTGAAGTACCTTGCCTTGTCCATCCCACAGTCGTACCTGCTAGTAGAGGCAGACTCTAAATCTCCTGCAACTGTAAATCCACCCTCTTTTCTACACCACTCTGCATCTCATGGAATTAATATATGACCTCTGTCAGACAGTAGTGTATTTTAATAGAGGACTCTCTGGGCTCAGTGAAAAAATCTCCAAACGATGAAATTTCAGGCAGTAACAAAAGCCTATGGTGAGACCTTTTTCTTTTTAATATAGGATCCTTTCTGGTGACCTTTAAACCACAACACGAATTCTCCCCTTAGATAGCCTATACATGGCCAGGTCACAAGTGTAATGTCCACTTTGCCCTGCATATATGCATTTCTGATGTATTTTTTTCAACTTGTCTGATTTCAGACATTTTTGCTCCAGATGAGTTCTTCAAGACTAAGAATATAGAAATTGCAATTCTCATTCAAAAACTGGATTGATTTTTGCTAAACATGATACTTTTCTCAACAATAATATATCATGCAGCCTTTAATAAATGAAAAAAGACAGTGGATGAGAAGTAATACACATGTATGTTTAAGAGTGCATGCTAGTGTGAACAGGCTATTAAGGGAGGATACTCACAGAACAATACTGGCAACCTGTTACTTAGAATGCTTTCAGTTCTGTAAGGTGCTTGGCCTGCATTTTTGTTTTTGTTTTTAAATTAGTATACAATTATAAAACCTTCAATCGTCAATGTACAAATTATTCTGTTAAGAGACATGCTTTTGTACTCCATGTTTCTGTTTCTACTGAAGCATATGTTGCATCTGTATCAATGACTTCATTCATGAGATGTTTTAGAAGAAAAGCTGACTTATCCCTCATTGTATGTGAAGAACAGGTTTACCATGAAATGAATGCCTTTATTCAATTTAGAATCCTAATGTTTCTGATTTTACCTTCTTGTTGCTGAGATGCAGAAGAAGCTGCAACAGGAGGGAAGAAGGAAGACTCCCTATACTTAATGTCTCCAGTTCAAAGAATTAATTGGCTAAAAGTAACACAGCCATCATTCAGCCATTGAATTTGAAAGCCTCAAGAGTTTCTTTCAATGATAAAAATATTTTTTAAAAATAAACCCAGCCCAGCCAGTGTAGCTTAGTTGGTGAGCACTGTCCCATGCACTAGGAGGTCACCATTCCTGGTCACAGCACATGCCCAGGTTGCAAGCTCAATCCCCATTAGGGGGCGTGCAAGAGGCAACCACCCGATGTTTCTCTCTCATCTATGTTTCTATCTCTTCCTCTCCGTTCCTCTCTCTGAAATCAATAAAAACATATTTTTTAAAAATTAAATAAAATAAACCCAGACAACATGATAAATTTTTATATAAAAATAAAGTTTCAATTTAGTTTTTAAAAAAAAAGTCAGTGGAACAAATTGTCCAGAAAACTATTCCTTCTGTTTGCTTCTGTCTTTGTAGATGTGCCCCACCTTCCCTTGGCACAATAATCCAACTTCTCTCCTTGTATATCCAATGTCCATTTCAGCCTTACCTGTTTTTTCAAATATGAAAAATTCTACATAGAGCAGTATTTCCTATATTTTCTTTTAACTATCTTTGTGTTCATGGATTTGTAACTTATCCCATTTACAAAGTGGTAGATTTGCAAACCTAATTCCAGGGCCTGGAGCAGTGTCTGGCACATTGCAGAAGCTTACACACCACTGCTGAATAAATGCATGAACTCATTAATTCTGTCCACCCAGCATCTTCATATTAGTCTTTCTCCCTTCTTCATCTGCACCTTAAATACCTCAGATGCATGAAAAGTGTGGAGCTTCTCTGCAAATCTAACTAAAGAACTGTCTGAAGAAAAAGTGAAATGCACATATCACCTACATATATACCTCATTTGACAACTAATCTTTTCTTTCGATATAAATGCTGTAGCCTTCCCATTGTCTATAAAGACACAAATGCCAAAGACAAGCCTTTTGTCTTAAGATAGGCAAAGAAATTTTGCAGCAAGTCTGAAATAACCCAGGAATTTTATACTGGTCACTTTCTGCTGAGTCATTATCCACATCCTCTTCCCCATAATCCCAAGGTAGGCACCCTGCAGACCACTTGGGAAAGTGCAGTCATCCAAACAGGTCCATTGGTCACCTGGTTATGGAATTTTCCTGGGAATAACAAGCAGAGCCCCTGCACCTGTTTTTTGAGGGTGTGCTCAATGAACAAGACATCTATGCTGTTTTTCAGTACACCTAGATCTGAAGTAAGACTGCTAAGGCCATACTTCGGCTAGAAAATAAAAACAATTACTACTCTTTGGAATGTAGTTGTGTGTGTACAAGGTGTTCAACATGATGAGTTAACATTCACTACACAACACTAATTGCAAAAGATACCAAAGCTGCCCTGCACCATTAGGTTCACAGACTTGTGGGTAGTTGTATAAATGATACTCAGAACTAACATGACCTGACTCGGTCACTAACCCATCAGGTTCTGCTGTCTTCTGGTGCCACACTTTTTTCTACATACAGCTAAAAGAGCTTGACTTCATCTACAAAGTCAGCCCCAACCCAGGAACTAGACTGTTTTCCTTTCTACAGAGGGTTTAAACCCTATCTTACAGACGACAAAACTGAGGCCCAGAGAAGCTCAGTTCAATGTCTAAGGTCAAAGAGTTCTAGAAATCTAGTGTCTAGACATCCAGTTCAATATAACCAGCAGTTGGGAGGGGGCTCCATTCAAAATACCAATACTATGCTAATAAGTGAAAGAAATAAATGCATATCTGTACAAATACAATATAATCCCAATATTAATTTTTATAAAATGACATAAGAAAATGAAAAGCATAAGAGAGAAAATTGAGAAACAAAACCGGATGAGAAGACATCAAAATGTTAATAATGACTATGACCAGATAGGTGCAATGAATGACTTTTTCTTTTCAATATTTGCCTGCACCTGTTTTTCCAGACTTTCTGCAATAAACGTTACTAGTTTTATAACATCAAAAGAGAGAGAGACAGTATGTTCTAGAATATTTAACTCTGGTTACACTAGAAGTCATCTGCATTGATGGAGAATCATGAATAGGTAGAAAAGGCTGAAAAAAAAAAAAAAAAGATAGCAACTTAAAACAACATACTTACCCACCAACTGTGGGAGAGAAGAAGCCTCCCTGTCAAGCATGATGGATCCTTTCTCCATACATGTCCTCAGCTCAAATAAGCTGTGAAGGGATAATGTGGCCACATGCGGCTTGCTCCATCTCTCCCCACCCTGTTCCACTTTTTCTTCAAATTTAATCCACCTAGGAACATGAGATTAGTGAATAGCAATTAAAAGTGTTCTAATGTCCTTAGAAATAGCAACATCAACCCCTCCATTTCCACCCCCACCGGCACTACCAAAATGTCTCCTTTCCCAGAGTCTTAAAAGCTTATTACATTACTAATTGTGTTACTTTTATAAATATACCCGTCACTAGTCTGTACTTTTCCCTAATGTTAAAAAGAAAAAAAACAACCCAAAAGGAACCAAAGCATTCCTGGTTTTGTATCTGTCTGTCAGTAACCACAAAATCCTTAAGAATGATTATTTAACTAAATTTTTTAAATAAAGTGAAAAAAAATATGCGTTACAGAATTATCCATGTAGGTAGAGCCTACAATGGGTAAAAATAGCCACCACTGTGAGAATTCTGTTGTGACTTCACAAGGCAAGTTTATACCAGGTGAAATATCAGTTATAGATCAATATCATAAATATTTAAAAAACATGTTGTGTGAAGTGGTTAAATAAATATAAAATTCCCCTTTAATGCCTAAAGAGGGTGAGCATGTGTTGCTAAGTCTTACTTTAGTACATATTTCTTAGCTAACCCATGTTCCCTACTTAAAATCTGGCTCCCAATGTGTGTAAAAATACGCAAGCTCAATGAACAACACATCTTCTGATTATAACAGATCTATTAATCTTAGCAATGAAAGAAACAATCCTCTTTCATAGCTTCTTCTTTCTAGACTCCTAGACATTCTGGTAGCTTAGTAATATATAGCAATAAAAATGTTTAACGGAAATGAGAGCAAAACCCATTTGACAGTTTTTGTGTCCCGCATACTACACATACAGACTTCTCACACTGGTTACAAACAAACAGCCCTGGCTGGTTTGGCTCAGCGGTTAGAGTGTTGGCCGGCAGTCCGGAGAGACCGGTTCGGTCCCCGCTAAGGGCATGTACCTCGGTTGCAGTTCGTCCCCGGCCCTGGTTGGGTCGTGCGGGTGGCAACCACTCGATGTGTCCCTTTCACATCGATGTTTCCCTCTCTCTCTCTCACACACACACTCTATCTGAACAAATATTGAAAAATGTCCTTGGGTGAGGATAAAGAAAAACAAACAAACAGCAAGCATTATAATTTTGCTATTCATCATGACACCCCCCACCCCCCGCAAAGAACGCTTTTTTTCTTTCACTTCAAATCTTCTAAAATATATTGAAAAAGATAAACAGAGGGCTTTAAAAGATTCTTTTTCTACATTCTTCACCCAAAGGTTTAATGATTGAAAAATGTTTACCTAAAAAAGCTAAACGCTCACCTAGCTCACTAAAGATGAGAACAAAGGGCAGAGATCGGAGGGAGCTCTACATAAGATATTATTTATGGACTGCTCACCACCTCCAGAGGGGAAAAAACACATTAGCAGAACCAGGAATGAAAAGAGATCAAGAGATCAGCCACAGTGTCAGAGAAAATGTGGAATTTTAATCAAGCCCGACACCCATGTGATTTAGAATTACTGTAGCCATACTCGAAGAGTCTCCCTCCACTACCCTCTCAGGAAGCCTCTCCTAGCCAATAAACTCCCACGTCAATGGCAACCTTATTCCTAACCTCACGCTCAATTCTAAGACCCTCCTCCTTTCCCCTGTACCCCCCAAAAAGTAGGCAGTGTAGATTTTTACAGGTTTTCCTCACAAGTTAAAAAGCCAACATCACCACCGACGTTTGAAACCTTCAGAACCGAACCTTGAAGTAGTTGCAAAACATTCCCAGAAAGAATCAAAGACGCTTAATATTCGTGAGTGTGTGTGTGTGTGTGTGTGTGTGTGTGTAAATCAGTTATTCACTGTGGCTGGTATTAAAACCACAGAAATAGAAGTGAGAGAAAATGACAATTTTACATCACACACATAGAATTCTATGAATTTGCCAAAATGATGAAAGGTAACTGGAGTTATTTTGAGAGTAATCACTTTATGGAGCATATTACATTGGTTAACTTTAGGTATATTATCTCTCCGTGCATTCTCACAGAATCTCTATCCATATTTGCTAGCAACTGCTACATGAATCATATTTACATGTGATGTTATAATTTATTGCTCAAGATAAGACTCTAGAAGGCAGAAGATTCCATAGTATCTGAAACCAAGACAGGGCTGCATAAAACTATGTCATATGTAAAGACAGTAGTGACTCCTTGTTTTTATTCCAAAGAGTATTCTTATTAGTTGAGGGATAGAATCTTTGGTCATAGAATTTAAGCCGAAGATGAATGACAAAAGCCAGCTAGAGACGCAGTGAAGGGGAATTACTAAATGAGCCCTTTTCACCAGCTGCCATGAAGCTATATTGCCCAAACCATTTCAGAAGTAAGCCTCCCGTCGTGACAATGGCTCTTTTTTACTATCAGTCTCACTATTTAAACAATGTAAGTTTATGTTAAAGGAGCCAAGCCACTGCATTCTTTTGTGATTGATCTTTTACGTCATTTTTTCTCTATGGTATATATTGTAGGGAACCGGACTGGACTTCAATATGACTTTGAACAAGTTTTAAAAATATATTTAGAAGTCATCAATCTTAACTAGGTTCAATTTATGGACTAGCATTATTCACCCTCCTGGAGTACACTAGCTCTTTAAGTCAAGATTTAGTAATACGTTAATGAAATGCAGTCTCAAAACTCACCAGCTTCTTAGAATCCACAATCCCAGGGGATAAGTATTATCTCATAGTTCAGCTAAGCATCTATTTCCCTTTGAGTTCAGTAAATATTGAATGTTGTGATGATGTCATCTCATAGCACAGCCAATAAGGGCAACTCTGGAATAATGACTATTAAATTTCTTTGAAATGGATTGCTCTAATTGTTCAAGAAACTGATTATTCATGGTACTTCCAACATATGCTTTCAGGCATCAAGCCATAGTTTGATCATTTAAACAAATCATTTGGAGGGAGTTTCATTCTAGCAACTGCACATGCTATGTCTATCCTCCTCACATGTCAAGGACAAATTTGAAGAAGGAAAAAAAACACTTGAAAACTCCTCAACTCAAACAGAACCCATTAAAGAAAAGGCTAAGGCCAAAGTACCAAAGTTCAGTCTATCTGAGTGTCAGTGAATTTGTAAAGGTGCTTCAGAACCATGTAATTACACTTGCAAAAAACAACAGATATTCTTACTGTAAAATGTACTAAAAGCCACTGTCTACCCTTCATAATCGCTATGAATAACCATGTATTAGCAATAAGTTTATGACTTTTTCTTCTGCTTGGTACTTGACATGTTATAGGAAAATTGATTTCAGAAGTTGGCTTTTTAAATGCTTCCAATTACAAAACTGCTATAACCTTGGAAGAAGCGTTTATTAGGTGAAGTTTATTTATTCCAAGGTCTTAGAAGAAACACTGCAATTTAACACACTCTGAGTGACTGCCAAACAACAGTATTTCAACTCATTTGGTGAAGAAATAGAAAACTCACTGGGAATCACTGAATTTTGCAATTTTCCAATCATATGATTAAATATAATTAAGAAAAGACAAGACCTCCAACATAAAAACATGCCAGTTTTACTGCGGAAAATAGACAAGACCTTTGCCCAAGATTATAATCCAACTTCATACAACTATTAAAATGATAATAAAACTTCTTGCTAATTAGTAATTGCCTCATCACACATAAAAGAAGCCAGTGGCTAGTGTGTATCTGAAATAAATTATGTTTTTAAGGAGAATTCTTAAATTTCTAGATCAACTGTGAAAGTTATTGCAGGAGTTATATGTACATTGTTATAAAAGGTATGTGTATGTATAAAAGTTACAGAAAGTTATACATATGCATATTTATATAAAATTATATGTATGTTGTAACTACATATAATTACAAAATGATAAAGTTCCTTTTCCTTCAGCCCTTTTCTTACAGAAAAATAAACTTGGTCTCAAATAGAATTTTCCAAAGAGAAGTCAATGTCAACTGGGAAGGGAGCGGCTCCTCTCCAAAGCCCCAGGACAAGCGCACGTGTGTGTCTGATGGCCAGACCCTGAAATCAGACGCTCCCAGAGGTATGTCAGTCAGTCCGTAGGGCAGACAGGAACACCCGCTGTTCCTTTGTGCTGTCCCACGGGAAGTGAAACATCAATACCCTTTCCCTTTGTTGGCTTGCTGCGTTTGTTGAAACTTGTGATGTCTTTCCTTTTTACCCAGGTTTGGCAGTAAAATCTGAGCCACACTGGGGGAGTGAACTTTAACATACTTTCTTACAGAGGTTCACCACTGACAACATTGTCCATCTGAACAATTGCTGAAGTAAAAGCGAAAGCCAATAAATATTTTTGCAGAGATACTAACAGACTCAAAGAAATAGTTAGGGGGTAACAGTAGCCCTTCTTCCTGGATTGGGCCGTCACCAAAGCTGGTCCATGACTTATTCTTTACCAGTTTGTTTCATAAATCCATTAGCTAATAGCTAGCCACACTGAGGAACACAGGCTTCTTCCCTACCAAATATTCCATTATAATTACTGCCACATTACTGAATGTCAGTAATCTACTGACCTAACACTTGGGAGTACTCTTTATTTCAACCCTCACCTGAGGATATGTTTTTATTGATTTTAGAGAGAAGAAGGGAGACGAAGATATAGTAATACATCAATGTGAGAGAGAAACACTACTCGGTTGCCTCCTATATGCACCCTGACCGGAGATTGAACCCACAACCTGGGTATGTTCCCTGAACAGGAACAGAACTCAAAACCTTTTTTGGTGTACGGGACAATGCTCCAACCAACCGAGCCACACTGGCCAGGGCAGAAGTGCACTTTAAAACAGAGTGTTCTCTGCATTCCACTAATCACATACACTTCTCAGGTCTGATCATTCCGCCCTTTGCAGTCTTTACCTTGCGCTGTGTGGGGAAAGCTTGTGAAAATTCAAAGTTCTAACTTTAGGAAAGGGGAAAGGTGTGAAAAAAAGAAGGTGGCAGAGTTGACTGTACTTCAAATTTCATATAAATAAAAGCTTCCCCTGTGATTTCCAAAACTTAAATGGGGATATTTTCCCTACTACTGAAATCACCCTCTTTCCTTTCCTTTTTTGAGACTCTGAGCTAAATTGAACTTCCTGAAGCAGGACTCAAACTACAGTGATGCTGAGACACAATGTAGGATATTCTTGATTATATCAAATAAGGGAGAGTAATAAAAGGGGTAGAGGGTGCAGACAGTGGAAACTACATTAAGCTGAAGTCTGATAGGTTAGTTCTCTATGGAATAAAATAGTCTGTCAATTGGGCTTTTGATAAAAAAGCAAAAATTCTCAATGGTATAAGTTAGCCAGAAAAATACCCATGCTGCATTTTCATGCATAAAATGAATTCCTTCTAAACACTACACATTTATTAGTCTGGTAGGTTTGAGAGTTCTTCATGGGGAAAAAAACAATCATGTGGAAACTGGACATCATAAATAGCAGTCAGAAATGACTGCAAATATATTCTGAAACAGAGTATGTTGCAGGAGGTAAAAATTAATGAAAATCTGAACCATTTCTGGAGCCACAATCACCTCCAAACCTCCCAGTAGGACTTAGATGGAGCAGCAAACGAAGAATCGAGGTTCTATTTCTCCATCCATTCTATTAACACATTTGTTTCTTATTGTAGACTGCGTGCCAGGTGGTTGCAGACACTAGGAGGTATGGTGGTGAACAAAACAACCAAAGATTCCTGCCTTTGTGGAGCTTTGATTTTATTACAAGGAGAGAATAATAAGATATGTAATATACTAAATGCTGACAAGTGCTAAGGACAAAAATTTTGGAGGATGGGGGTAGAGAGTTGGGAGAAGGTTTCCATTTCAGAAAGAACAGTCCCTGAGAAGGTCAGATGTGAATAAAGACCTGAAGGAGGTGAGGAAATGAACCATGTAGGTAACTGTGGGGATGTGGCAGGGACAGCAATTCAGTCAGAGGCAACAGCAAATGCAAAATCCCTAACACAGGAGTGTGACTAGACAGTGAGGCTCAAGCACAGTGAACAAGAGGGACAGAGGGAGCAGATGAGGTCAAAGAGGTCATGGTGCACAGTTCATAAGGGAGGGAAGGGCAGGTGCAGGGAGGTGGACTAATTAAGAAGCAATTGCAGTAATCTAGGTGAGAGATAATGGTGACTTGGACCAGGTTATGACAGTCCTGAATATAAGATATGGTGAGATTCTGCATATCTGAATATCTTTGAGGGTAAACAGAGTAAAGGATTAAGTAAGAGGTGTACAGAGACATAGGAGTCGAGGAAGACTACAGTGTTTCTGGCGTGCCCAACTAGAAAAATGGTGTTGTTCACTGGAGTGAGGAACTCTGTAGGAGGAGCTTACCTGAAGTAAATAAATCAGAAACTCAGTTCTAGACATGTTATTTTGAGATGCTTATTACCCATCTAACCATTCCCTTTCCGGCAAATAAGACAAGAAGTCTGGGCTAGACAACTAAAAGCTGATGGCATCATTATTTTGATGAATTAGTTTGAAGCATCAAACATAGGTCCTCTTCTGGGCTTTCTCCATGATGTGCTGGGTACCTGGGGTCTGTCATTCAGCTGCCTACCAATCAGAGACAGGTTATCACAGAACTCCAACTTTGGTCTAGTAAGACTTCTAGAACATTTGTGTCTAAAGCAATCAGTTCTCAACTAATCACATTCAGCACATATTACTGACCACCTGTTACGTGCCAGGCACAGCGAGGCCCTGGGACTAGAGTAGCAAAAGACAGACATGGCAGTCCTGGCCTTCAGATGAATGAGTATAATCTGGGAGACAAAATCAAAACAATAATATTACACACATGGCATACTCCCACCATACTTCTCCAGAAGTACAGTCTCTGAGGGACCAATGATGTCACCAAAATGACACAGAGGTTTCCAAGGAAATAAAGTCTTTAAGAATAGTAAAGTATTGCCCTGGTCAGTTTTGCTCAGCAGTTAAGAGTGTCGGCTCATGGACCAGAGAGACCTGGGTGTGGTTCCCACTAAGGGCACGTACCTCGGTTGCAGTTTATCCCCGAGCCCGACTGGGGTTGTTTGGGTGGCGACCAGTCGATGTGTCTCTCTCACATCGATGTTTCTCTCTCTCTCTTCCTCCCTCTCTCCCTCCTGCTCTGTCTGAAGATAAATGCAAAAATGTCTTCAGGTGAGGATGAAAAAAAAAAGTAAAGTATTTACATCTTAATCTTTGACAACCTTAAAGGAAATACTATGTCCATCTCTCTCAACATTTTATTACCTAAACAGTGAACTGTGATCTCTCATGTTTCTGGGACCAGGGGTCATATAAAGTGTAGTCTTCACTTGACTGAATGAAAAACAGAATACTACACCTGAATTTTAATCTACATAGGTACTCACACAGAATTTTAAGGTGAAAATAAGAGTCAAAGTATGTCTTCTAATCACAGCTGACTACACCAGTAACACACAGGATGAAATTTCAGAGCTATAAAATATGCACAATGTTAGAGAGGATGTAGCCCAAAATGACTGTCATTTGATAGAACAGAAAACTCAAACTCAGGAAGACTACATGACTTGCCCAAAGTTAAACAGCTAGTTAGCAGCAGAGCTAGACTAAACCAGTCTCCCCAACACTTAATGCAGACTGCACCTATATGACTCTCATCTTTTTCTGTTAGAAAGAAGGAAGAGAAAGAATGTAATGGAGATACTAATGAAAGTTTCTGCTTCAAAAGCCCTCTTCTGCAGGACATTTTATGAACTAAAAGTATACTTTATGGAGGACTTTAAAAATCCAGGTTATTGGTACTGAGAGAGGGAATAAGGGACAATGACCACATCATGAAAAGAGGCCCTAACAGAGTAAATAATAAAAATATTTACTTCTGTATTCCCACTACCTAAAACAGTACCTGACATATACCATGTATTCAAGAAACACTGGTTCAATTTAATTTACTTGAATTAAATTACAGACTATAAAAGGCGTGTCTTAACCTCATTCCGTTCATGAAAGTAATATACACTGAATGTAATGATGACAATGAAAAACCAATAACTGCATTATATCAAAGTCTTTATCTTACAAAATTGCTATATGTCACAAAAAACTTAGTGTGGAGTACATAACTAAATCTACATGTAGAAAGAAAGAAAAGCCCTGTTATTATGAGACTAGTGAAAATTTGGATATTTGTGTAGTGCTTAACAGTTTACAAAGGATTTCCATATATACATACATGTGTGTATATGCTATAACTAGATATGTATTGTATATTATATTTATATTTATATATATATATATATGGCATACATATATTATGAATAGTAGGCATTATTATCCACTCTATTGATGATGAAATCAAAGTTCTGGGAAACTGAGTGTTTTGTAGCTAACAGGCTACAGAGTCTGAACTTGAACTCAGGTCTCTAAACTCCAAATTCAGGTGAACCTTCTATTTACTGTCACTGGATATTTAAAAGATGACAGGTTTTAATGGGGGGGGGAAAGAGGAACATCCGTAATACTTTCAACAATAAAGGTAAAAATATGCAAGATTTTTACTTGCAATAATAGCAAGTTTGTGGGTGCCAGTTACTGCCTTTGCAACCTCCCTCCTGACAGGGAATGGGTAATAAACCAAACATGATCTCTTAACTTTGACACGTGGAGACGGTGGACACATATTTCTAGGCTATCATGTTTGAGTCCTTGAGTTTATCTCTAAAATATTTCACTATTAAGTAGCATATGGATGGAGATTTACTACTAATTCCTCATAAAATTAAAATTATAAAAACAGTCCAGCTGGTGTGGCTCAGTGGTTGGGCATCAACCCACGCACCAAAGGTCGTCGGTTCAATTCCTGGTCAGGGCACATGACCAGGTTGTGAGCCAAATCCCCATGCAGAAGGATGTTCTCTCTCATCAATGTTTCTATCTCTCTCGCGCTCTCCCTTCCTCTCTCTCTAAAAAATTAATAATTAATAAAGAAAAAAAAAAAACACATTCCATGTTTAAAAAAAAAAAGTAACATAAATCAATGAAATGATGCCCCAGCTGTGAAATAAAAGGTGTCCTGTATCATGTCAATGTGAAAGAGAAGAGAAAGAATTATTTTTTGTCTCAACCCAGCCAACATCATGCTCATCAGTTATTCAAAGTGCTAAGACTGGAGAAAGGGGCTCACTCCCAAACTCAACCGTCTGGTCCACCCTGCTCCCCCAGGTCAGGGCTGCAGAAGCAGGCATGCCTCACCTCGCCGTCTCCTTCCACTCCATCTCCTGCCCGTCCACGGACAGCAGCTCGTCCAGTTCGGTGAAGAGCTGAGGGGGCGCGGGGCTGTCATCCTCCTCGCCCAGGATGAACCGGATGCGTTCTGCCGCAGGAGAGACTGCAGAAGTGAAAATGCTGCGGTTAAACACGGGCTGCACCACCCTGAGGAAAGTGTAGCTCCGAGCGCGACCTCTGTCCCCGAGGCTGCTGGGCTTCCCTTCCACGTTTTCAGTGGACATCTTCCTTGCTTATCCTCAACTTAAAGACAAAAAGAAGTCAAAGCCCGTCTCTCTTCCTTGGGTTCTAAACTGTATGTCAGCCCTGCGCTCCTCCCCGGGAGGACAGGCTCCAGTCCAGTGTGCTGCGTGACAGAGGACCTTTAGCCCTCAGATGAGCTGAGGTCCAAACTCATGACTTTTCTTCCTTCCCCACTCATGACCCATCCAAAATTCTTAGACAGAAACCAGCGTGATCCAATCACCTTTTCTACACCAGTGGGCGGGGGCAACAGAGCACCCCAATCCTCAGTTTCGCCTGGGTGCCCGCCTCCCACCCACCCTCTCCTGTCCAGGGCCCAACGCCGAAGCCCTCACAGGCTCCTCGCTGCCTGTAACTGGCTAATGACAAAGTTAATGAAGGAATATTTAACAAGATGGGGCCTCTTCTTTACATAATGATGTATCCAAAAGTGTTTAGTCACACTTTAATGCACTTGAAAAACAAGCCCAAGTAAAATATTGTACACCTGAGGGGGGGGGGGGATTCCAACACACTCAAGCACATAATTGAATGCCCTACCAGCTCCTTTTGACCCCATCTCCTAAAAATAATATAATGAAAAATTAACTAGCATCTCCTCCAGGTCAAGGGTTATTTTCCCTTTCTTTTTTTTTAAAGGATAGCATTTGGAAACTGATGGTCATGTTACAAAATTAAGGCCCACACATACTCTTTATAATCCCTAGGTAAAACTAAAAATGGCATATATATATATATATATATATTAATGCAGTTCAGGTACACAGATATGTGTGTGTGTGTGTGTGTGTGTGTGTGTGTGTGTGTGTAAAAATACATGTACTCGAACATAATGTAAAAATATATGTACTCAACCTAAAAAAAAAGAAAATCCCTACGATCTGAAAATTAGTATAATAAAGGACAAGAATAGCTCAAAATATATTTACTACAAATAAACCCATAAAAATATCCAATCTAACTAGTATTCAATCTAACTAGTATTCAAAACTAATTATTAAAATAAGATGCATGTTTTACCTGCTAAAATGGCAAAAATTAAAAAGAATGATAATGTCTAATGTCAGCAACAGTTTAGAAAATGTATGTCATTGATAGGAGCTTAATAGGGAACATCTCTCTCCAGGGATATTTTGAAGGATATGCAACTGTTTTAAAAGTATGTACCCCCATGTTCATAGCAGCACTATTTACAATAGCTAAGATCTGGAAACAGCCCAAGTGTCCATCAGTAGACGAATGGATAAAAAAGCTGTGGTACATATACACAATGGAGTATTATGCAGCTGTAAGAAAGAAAGATCTCTTATCCTTTGAGACGACGTGGAGGGACCTGGAAAGTATTATCCTAAGCAAAACAAGCCAAGCAGAAAAAGACAAATACCACATGATCTCACTTATATACGGAATATAATGAATATAATAGTCTGAGGAATAGGGTAGACCCAGAAACACGGAAGTAGGGTACAAACTGACAACCCTCAGAAGAGGGGGTGGTGGGGGGTGGGAAGAGATAAACCACAGAACTTATATGCATGTATGCATAACCAATGGACATGAACAACAAAGCCGGGGATGGGGCTGGGGGGATAGGGAGGAGGGTGTCAATGGGGTAAAAAAGGAGAAACATGTGTAACAAAAATAAAATTAAAACATAAAATAAAATAAAAGTATATGTATCCAGTGAGCCAGCAATTCTATCACTAGAAAGACATTCATTTCAAATAAATAATAGTCGTTATCTCAAAGACTTAGCTTCAGAGGTGATCACTGCAGCATTATTTATAATTGAGAAAAATGGAAAAAGCCAAAATGTCCAAAAAAAAGGAGGACTGGCTAAATAAACTATAGTACAAGTATTCAATAAAATACCACGCAGTCCTAAAACATGAAGTCGAGATTATTGGTTTTTGATGTATGTACCATATAATATTAAATAAACAAATAAAACTGCAAATTCATGTCCATAAAGTGATTCCACTTTAGTAAAAATGCAAATATATACATAAAATAGCCTGGAACTGAGGGAGCCCTCACTTTGCAGCGTTGCAATGTGTGTAAATCTCAGTTACCACAGTACACATTTTAGTTAGCATGGTACAGGAACTGTGAATAACTGCATAAAGTACACACTTCACTGCTACCTCTTCAGTTCACAATTACTATGTGAATAACTTAACACAGTGCATCTTTCAAAATCTATCAGGGATGGATTATTTGACCTTTTTTATCCAGTTCATGTACAGACGGCAAAGTGTGTGGTCGTGTTGCCTTCTATCTCCCAAGAATAAATTCATGCAACATGCAACTCAGAAGAGAGTTGGCCAAGACAGGTGCTTCATCACAGAAACACAAGGCGATGATCCAGGAAGTGAAATCTGTAGTCAAATGTACATGGAGTTATAGAAGACCTAGCTGATCACAGGAATGTAGACCATGCTGCCACTAGCCATTTGAGGGCTAGGCACACAGTGGGGGAACGCAGGGAAGGTATACTGGTCAACACAAGCAGGAAAGTGGTTGTAACCAAATGATAACAATGTCCCAGAGGAAGCAGTGCTAGCAAAAAATAAATAAATAACAAATAAAAACTCCATGTCAGAGGAACTCTCAAGGACACTTCTCAACATGGAAAGCACAAAAGATAAAATGTTGGAAGCTGATTCAGATTAGAGAGGATATGACAATGTGGGCATAGAAAAGATGCTCATTCCATTTTATTAGTTGTACAATAGCAAGAAAGCAAGCACTATTCAAACTACTGCTCATGAGGTTTCACAAAGGAATCAACTGCTTTAATCTTAATGGTGCTCATGTTTTTAAAAAATTAGCATGTACTAAATAATTATTAGTTTTACTACTTTTTTTATTTCCCTATGCTTTTATGGCCAACAGCAAGAAAGAGTTTAACGATTTGGCAAAAAAATTTTTAAGTCAAAAAACAACAGTAACTTTCCCCATTAATTAGTAGGATTGCTTTGCATAACTTCAGCTTGCATAGTCTGTTTCATGGTCCTGCAAAGCAAGGACTGCCTGTATACACATCTTCCAAATTCTTATTTCTAGGGCTTCTGCTGTTTTCCTTTCGTTTTTCTATCAGTTCTGAAGTGTGTACAACTCAGTATTTATTGAATACTGCCTATGTTCTAATAGCCTTTGCTTCAGGCTCTGAAGATAAAAGTGAAGAACTTTACAAAACAATCCCTGTTGTTATTGAGTTTACATGCTAGGAGGGGAAGCAAACATTAAGTAATTAATTAATTAATTAAATCAAACAGCAAACAAAAAATATCTATGAAGTGTGTTTGCAAAACATTAAAATAAGGTAATTGAACCCAGCCGGTGGCTCAGCTGGTTGGAACATCACCCCATACACTAAAATGTTGTGGGTTCAATCCCCGGTCAGGGTGTGTACAGGAGGTAACCGATCAATGTTTCTCTCTTCTCTCTCTCCTTTTCTCTCTCAAAAACAATGTTAAAAAATAAGGTAACTGAATATATATTAACACAAGATAAAATATGTTTTATTTCTGTAATTAGGAAAAAAATGGCTTTTAAATTTCTTAACATGTCTGGGAGAAAAATATCTAAAGCTCCAGGACTTTGTGCAAAAACATTTGCAATGCCTTTCCAGTGAAGAAACAGGAGCAGTGGTTATTTTTTAGAGGATCAGGGACAGCATAAAAAAATAAGTGGACAGTTTAAAATGATAGGCAGAATTTGGAATCTGGATAGTATTTCTAAGGAGTATAGTGTTTACATTACTAAAATTATAGTTATTGATCATAGCGGTTCTGCAACTGACAATCACAAATTTGATCGACTTTTTATCAACATTCAACATCAAAGATCCCTGAATTAGAAATAGCTTTTATTCTTTTTTTTTTTTTTTTTTTTTTTTTTTTTTTTGTGGTGCATGCCCCTAGCGGGACCCAAACCCGGGACTCTCTGGTCCGCAGGTTGACGCTCAACCGCTGAATCAAATTGGCCAGGGCAGAAATAGCTTTTAGAAGGGGAAAGTCTATGTTTAGAAAATCAACTTTTAGTCCATTTCTGAAAGATGTGATTTGGGTTTGTCCCCATGTCTAACAGAGAAGAAGAACTGTTTCTCCTGCTGAAACAAAATCTCCGGCACAGACAGCACACGTCTCTGCTCAGCTCTGATTCACAGAGCAGTACTGTGCAGCCTGGAGCTCTCAAGTTAGGAAAACACAACTCACTGCTTATCGGATAGCAATTCATCTGCGACTTCTGCAAAATGGAGTGGACGAAGGATGCAACCTCACCTCCAGGTCTTCCCCTCTAGGCTCCATGTCCAAGCACCTTTCTTAACTTATTTATTAAATGCAGCCTGAGCAGCCAATATAATAATCCCTTTGGGATAAAATCCCAAACTCATGTGCCATAAACTAGCTTGCTACTCTAGTAAACTCTTTCCCTAGTTGTCCCCTAAGCTTCCCCAGGAATTAGAAGTACATGGGAGGCCACAACTGTATTGTAAATATCCACCTATGGGAGAGGCATCCTCCATGGCGAGCAAAATACCTGTCCCAATTTCTAACAACATTCTTAACACAAAGATATGCAGAGTGACAGTCCCCTAACGAAGTACATCAAGCATTCTTTTTTTTTTTTTTTTTCCCATTTTTGACCATATGGTTAAAATGAGCTAAACACAAAACACAGCATTTTATTGAGATTAAAAGAACAGTCCTGGCTGGCGGGACTCAGTGGTTAAAGCATCAGCTCACACACCAAAGGGTTTCAGTTTGATTCCCATTCAAGGGCACATACCTGGGTTGCAGGTTCAATCCCCTGTCCTAGTTTCTCGCACTGATGTGTGTGTGTGTGTGTGTGTGT